GGCCCTCGGGTTGACAGGTCTAATTTGTAGGGTTTTGTTCCACCCGGCGAAGTGCCCTCGTCAAAGATGATTTACTAGAAAGGGAAGCGCATGCACGTATGTAAATTGTCTGGCTTTAAGGATGGTTTGAAGAAGAAGAAAAGCTCAGGAAAAAACGAAGGCTGGAAAATATCCGATGATTAGACCTGACTAAAAAGAAAGGTTTTAGTAACAAAATACACATTACTGATTGGGACTTAAAACTGACTTAAAGCATAGCATCTTATTTATTGAATTAAAATTCAGTCTTCCATCATTATAATTGAATATTTAGAGAAGTAAAAAAATGTGACATAAGAGACGAAGAACTTTATTTTGAAAACAAAATGAGATTTATTGGACATAGCCTAGGGTTTTGCCATTAATTTTTTTCCAAACAAATTTTGTTTCAGTACTTTTATATGAGAGGGGAGGGGACTTAAAAGCACAAATAATCTTCAAGCAACGGATCTATCATACACATTTCAATCAAACATTTACACTAAAAGCATTAAGGATTAAAGACACAGCCTTACCCTGAAGGAACAACTATCCAGTACCTTGATGATATTTTTGAAGCTGCCCCATAACTGTCCAGAAACACGTGCTATATTGATTAGACACAATTCGGGCGGGGAAATAATCTCGGAAGTTCATAAATAATCTCGACCCCGTGGCGCACTCGCTTAGCACAATAAACAAGGGGTTGCGAGCGAGAAGTCTTTGAAGAAGGTAGACTAAACCTTGGCGATGGTTGTTATGCAGGAGTAAAAACAAACGGTTGATCGTTATACTGGCCATTTATATATTTCTATTTCGTGAACAGTCAAGAGTCTGCATCCTTCTATTTTTCGAGTAGGCAAACGTCAGTCTATGTTTATAATAACTTTTCTGATCCTGTATATCTATAACTCAGCCAAAATATAACATAATGAATAGATGTTTTTCTTCTTTTTTGTTTTAGGTATTCATTTATTCGTTCATTATTTATTTATTTATTTAATTCTGTTACACAGTCAACTACTACACACTGTCTGGGCCTTTAAATTGCCGGTAATGGATCTTTGCTAAATATCTCAAAGTTGATATGAGCATTTTTTTTTCTAACATAATTCACAAAAAATATATGCAACAAACTTTTCAATTCAATTCAATTCAAATGTTTGGTAACCTGGGATAAAAATATAGAATAACGAACGTGTTTGTTCTGGGCTCTGGATTGAATTTATTATTGTGATGCAAC